GGTATTTAGTGCTGTGTCATTCCAAGTGTAAACTCCTCCGATTCTTAATTCCATTGCCAGTTTTTGTTCCACTTTCTTTGTCACTTTCACGATGTCTGATCCGTGTCACAGCAGTAGCAGATGAAACTTGCCTTGTACACGACTTTTCGCTTTGCTTGTATGAAGGTCCCTCTGTTAATTTATTACCAGCCCTCCTATGTCCCAGTTGGCTATCTGGAAAAAAAAAACATATTTGCACATCCGGTACACCACATCCAGTATACGTAGCTACGAGTCACGCGGCTTCTACTCCAACCTACCAATGACCCGGAGAATATATATTTTTTATGATCAATTAATCTGTGCCTGTAACGTGCAAACGTGACCTAACATAGGTAAACCAAACACGATCGTGCATTGCAGACACGGTGCATGTTGTTGTGTGTGTGTGTGCAGCTGGGGCGCTGGGTGGGGGGAGCAAGGCTACATGAGGCTGGCGAGAAACAGAAACAACAACTGTGGCGTCGCCAGTGACGCCACGTACCCAGTCGTGTGACCCAGCGAGCGGCCAGGCTGCTCGGCCTAGAGGCGCTTGAGCTCCAGTGCCCGTGCCCGTCACCTCTCCGCTGCCACCACGTCCATCACGTCCATCACCTCCACGTCCATCACCACACGTCCATCACCTCCACGTCCATCACCTCCACGTCCATCACGTCCATCACCTACACGTCCATCACCTCCACCACCTCCACCACCACGCCCATCATCTACACGTCCATCACCTACACGTCCATCACCTACACGTCCATCACCTCCACCACCTCCACCACCACGTCCACGTCCATCATCTCCACCACCACGTCCATTATCTCCACCACCACGGCCATAAAATTCCACGTCCATCACCCCCATCACCTCCACGTCCATCACCTACACGTCCTCACCTCCACCACTCCACCACCACGTCCATTATCTCACCACGTCCATTAAACTCCACGTCCATCACCCCACCACCTCCACGTCCATCACCTCCATCACCTCCAACACCATCGCCTGTTGCACCGATAACCACCATCGCCATCACCACCATCACCACCCCAAAATACTTCTGTCTGTACTCACATTACCACCACCAACCCCATCATAGACCACTGACACACCACCACTACTAAAAATTCTACCACTACTACCACCACCAGACACGTACTGACACCTCCACTTCCGTCACTACGATCATCGACGCTATTGATACTTCCATAACCACCACTACCAACACAACCGCAGACGCGACTGAAACATCCATCGCCAGCACCACTTAACAAACATCCACCACCGCTTTAACTGACGTTAGCCACCATAACCTTCACCTGCTGCTGCCTTTGCCACCACGACTGCTAACACTACCACCACGACCAACACCACCACAACCAAAAATCATATCCACAAACACATACTTACATCAGCACTTTCAGCACTACCACACTATCATAGCCTTAACACCATTCACTCACCAGCACCACTGCCATGGTTAACTACCAACTACAATGGCTTGCCACAAACACGGTCACAACTACTACTGCCCACATCACCACCAAATGCACCACTGTCAGTTTGCTTTTTATGTGGGCCGTGAGGACTGGAGTCTCTGAATCCTCGTCTGTTTTTTGGGTCGGACATAAGGCATTGCCACTCAGACATACTGAGGATTGACATTGGAGGCTGGTTGATCGGGCCACAGCGACACAATATAATTGGGTTTAATCGTTGCGATATTTCTGAATTAAAATGCATTAACAATTCTTGCTTGTAGTGTTTTGCCTATGTTTAGCTTTCGATTTTAATTCCCAATAAAATATGTTGAACAGTTCATTTTTTGTTCGTGCTTTTTATTTTATTTAAATCACGATTGCCGAGCACAGGCCCAAAGACGCCAAACGGCCTGCAACAAACAGCACCAAATAGAAGTGGTGACAGATAAGGTTACCTACGATTCGTTTCTCTGAATTGGGCACGGTTACAAATCACAACTTGGGGGGAAAGAGACGAAGGGAGGGAATACAAAATTAACCCGTAAAAACTAAGTTTTTCACTATAACTCCTTTATATGCATGGCATCGGTTTTATTTTATTATTCATTCCTGTTTTTCCTTGAGTAAGAGTTTCATTTTTATCACATTGGTATTTTTAATTAAATATGAAAACATTTTTTTCCTAAAAGTGGAAAATTTTGGAAATATTTTTTTCACAAAAATTAATTGTCACGACACAACGAGTCTGTGTGCAAAATGTCAGCTCGATGGGATCACGGAAGTGGGTTAAAAAACGACCGAAAGATTTGCACGGTCGTAAGCGCGCAAGCAAGCAAGTGACTTACATATAAAGGATTTAACAAAGAAGCGTGCTGCAATGGAAGAAGCCGACACAACAAGTGTTTGACATGCAGGACTACTAGCTGTACAGTATGACTGTGTGTGTCTTGTTAGGTAATAAACAAACTATAAGCTATTTTTTTTTAAATACAAACGATTATCATTTACCAGGTAAGACCCACTGAACATTTTTTTTCAGAAGTCACCTGTGCCACAGATTCCAAAAAACACAGGATGAGATGGTACTCTCCTTTGTGCAAGCACTTCCAAGAGTTCATGAACAGTGAGCCTGGTGACATTTGGGGAGCGCATCGTCAGTAGTGTACCTTTGGTTCCTAGGGTGTTTCGGCCTTTCACACGATACACCCTCCCCAAAGGTGGCCAGCGACAGGGTGATCAATCCTACGCTTGCGTCCCATTCCCAATTAGTCATAGGAGTTGCTTTGATGATAGCTCAACGAAGTGGCTTATCACGGGGAACATTTATATCTGCCAAATATTCTAAACGCAGGATTCTAAATGTTGGGGGCAAAAAAAGATAGTGCACTGCGCTACGAACCCAACAGTGACCCGAGTTCGATTCCCGCTCACGGCCAACACCAGTGACGATTATCTCAACCGGTCCTGGGCCTCCTCCCCTAGATTGACTCAGCCTCAAATGAGTACCTGGTGCGGTGTGTAAACATCGCCGCTAGGGAGACAAAGACGACCAGGCGTGGTGCTGGCCACCCACCCTCTCGTGTGCCGTGCCGGCCTTCATAGGTGCTCGCGAACCGCACTTGTTGAGACTATACCGGGGATCTTTGTCTTTAGGTAATTAAAATATATACAGCATTGGTTTTGGGGTTTGACACCTGTGACACACAGCCTACTTTTGCCAACGATAATGTAACGAGGCATTTAACGTACATTTATCAATTCACGGCCGAAGCCAATTCGAACCTTCAATCTCATCCGTTATCTTCACATAGGGGCCGTCCCTA